GGGCAGACGTAGCACCTCAGATGATAACAGCAAGAATTTTTCTCCAGAAGAAGCTGGGATATTTGTTGTACTGCTGCTGTATGAACGCATGCAACTTCTGTGATACATAGGCTGCATTCACTCAAGCTTTTTGAATGAAAGTTATTTTTCTGTCGAACTATGAACAGTCTTTCCTTATTTCAGCAGCACAAATGTCTGGATCCCAGTGGTGGTAGATTTTCTGAGACTTTCACTGCTTGATTTCCAAAATCTGTATATAGTTTTAGTTTCTTCAAAAGCTGTGATAACTTCAAGGGGCTAGTACCATCACCAGAAGTAGCCATTTTACATAATACACTGTCTATCTCTCCAGCGCTAAGTGAGATTAAACCCTTCAAGCATACAGATGATAAAGTAGATTATTACAAGAACTATAAATAACAGTAAATCCCTTACACTAAACTTTATACTAAGACTTGATTTCTTAAAGGTAAGTAAATTATGATGATGTATAAAAATGACTACTGCATAGGGTACCATATTCTAGCAATTCCTATACTACTTCGAGTAAGTGAAGATATAGATCTTATTAAACATTACAAATGAAAAATATTATTCTATGAACAAGACAAATAAACAATCTTGCCAGTAAATCATGGAAAATTTTAAATTTCTATGATAAAAAAATATCAGTGCAATCAGAAAAGGTGTTCAAATTGTATGCAACTTTTAAAAGAATAGGCATATTATGTCAAGGTTTTGATCATTTATGCACAATGATACTTTGATAATGAATATTATGGCTGATATATCCAAAAAAAATAAATAAATAGAATGCCTTTACTGTTATGGTATCTGGACTAACATACAAATGTTTATTAGAGTATTTTTTCTGTACATGTAGACTTTCTTAAAATGACTCGTGGCAAGCATTTGCAATCCATGATTGTTCTTGTTTTGTGGCATTATTTTACTTGAATTTCAGAACTGGACTCGTACATAGTGAAATGAACCATACAGATTATAGAAAAACAATATTGTCTATAGCTTATAATTCAAAAAATATGTGAACCAGTCTTTTATTGTTTCAACCAAAATCATTCACTGGATTTTAGGGTGGGTCATTTTGACCAAAATATTGGCAATGTTTGCACCACTTCACAGTTCTACAGCAGGCATATTTGGAAAGAGGGGAAATTTTCATTTCAAATGAGCCAAAGTTCAGCCATGTACTTTTCATGTTCATTAAACTTATTTTTTATACCCTTCAGCCACTTCACTATATTAGTAAATAGTAAAATTAAAAATTTATTAACCTAGCTTGCACCTGATTTTACTTCACTAATTATAATATAGGTGTATATGTGTTTGTAAACATTAAGCATTTAAGCTAATATTTGATATTCAGACAACACTTGCATAAATATTCAAAGTCAGTTTAAAAAACAAAAATCAATCATTAAACATAATCATAAAAATGACTGTTCTCAATCTTAAAATACGACAAAATACTGAATAATTTACTGTACAAGATAAAAAGCTGACACTGGAAACTTACCACATTTTCCCATTAAATCAACTTGTTTTTTAGTTATTCTAAGAATTTCACTAATTTTGTTCATTAGTCTATATGTTGGAAAGATATTTTGTTGTTTACTAAACTTTCATTACTTGACAAGATAAACCAGGCATAAATGACAGTAGAAGACCTTCTTTTTTGTGTTTTTCAGCAAGTGGTTTTAACTTTATATTTTTCATTTCTGTTTTTCAATTTTTAACAGCTCTGTTGACGTTATCAAAATTAAAACCTCTTTCTTCTGCTATGTACTTAACAATAACTCACAGCTCTTCATGTTTACATCATAAAATTAATATCTTTTCCGAAAAAGAATAATAAAAAAGGTTTTGAGATTTAGTGTGATACGATTTTTAATGTTTTGGTATGATTACTATCTGTTTCTTCATGTTTACTTCCAGTTTTTCATTATTTTTCTTCACTAAAACATCTAATAAAAGTAAACAATTATTTTAACTTAATATATGAATTTGTTAGAATTGTCAGTGTTATTAAGGTAATTAGCAAAAACAGCTCATTCCTCTTTACCATATTGGCATACCAAAAATGCCATCTTCTGTTTTTTTTTATCTGCCTCAGTTTCAAAACTGTCCATAAATAAATTGTATAATGATGGAAATAGAGGAGAACCCATAGCTAAACCTTCATTCTGTTTACAAACTTTACTCTCAATTTGAAAAAAATAATTTTTAACACATGCTTCTATCAGGTTAATCATATGCTATTTCTAAAACTAAATTCTTATTTTCTGAATTTATTCTCAAAACCTGCAGTGGCTAGTGTTACATGCTTAATTTGCTCAATAAGTTCCAAAGAATTCTTAACTGTGTATTTGTTTTTATCCCTTAAAAAGCATGTCACACTAAATCTTGGAGGAAAACCAATGTTTTTTATTCTTATGTGGACAGTATATTAAAAATTGTGTTGCAAACAAGAAGGCATTCATAATGAGAGGCCTGGTATGGTCAGGTAGTCAGGGTGCTCGACTTGCAATCTGCGGGTCACAGATTCAAATTACCGTCCCACCAAACATGCTTGCCCTTTCAGCCTTGGGGGCATTATAATGTGACAGTCAATCCCACTATTCATTAGTAAAAGAGTAGCCCAAGAGTTGGCAGTGGGTGGTGATGACTAGCTGCCTTCCTTCTAGTCTTACACTGCTAAATTATGGATGGCTAGCACAGATAGCCCTCGTGTAGCTTTGCACAAAATCCATATCAAACAAATTAATAATGAGTTATTGTTAATTGATTATATAGCAGTAGAAAGAGATGTTAATCTTTATTGTTAACAGAGCTGGTAAAATGCTAAAAAAAGGGGACTTGTAAAAAATAAAAGTTAAAACCACTTGCTGAAAAATGTAAGAAAGAAGGTCTTGTATTTTCATTGATACCCTGTTGATCTTGTCAAATAATGAAAGTTTAGTAAAAAACAAAATCTCTCTCATATAGAGACCATTGAACAAAGTTAGTCAAATTCTTAATATAACTAAAAGATTAAATTTAATGTTAAAATCTGGTACATAAAATTTGTTAATGTGAAAAAGTCTACATGAAATAAACTAGAAGAAATTAAGAATACAGAATGAATGAATGGATACAAATCTTAAAAAGAGTAATATTGTGATTTCACTTTTTAATACACTTTCTAATAAAACCCACAATTTAATGGGTGGAGGGAACTTTTATTTTAGCACAACTTGAAAATATCATTGATATTGTTACGTCTCCGTTCGTTAGTTAATTTTCCATAAATTCGTTCCAACGAAACT